GTTAAAAGGGAGTTTTTCCTTCCCACTGTTGCCAAAGTGCTTGCTCATAGGGGGTCATATGATTGTTGGGTTTTTCTCTGTATCTATTATTGTACGATCTACTGTACATCTTTAAGAAGGGGGACCGGAGGGTGTGTTCCAACTGTAGGGAAATCGCACTCCTCGGCCTCCATGGGAAGGTCTATGCCAGGTTGCTGGAAAGGAGAGTCCATCCGTTAGTCAAACCTTGAGTACAGGAGGAACAATGCTGTTTTCATCCTAGTCGTGGAACACTGTATAGATCCTTCTCAATGATACTTGAGGGTGCATGGGAGTTTGCCCAACCAGTCTACGTGTGTTTTGGTGATTTGGAGAGAGATTCCCAGGGTCTTCTGTGGGGGTGCTCCGGGAATATGGGGTGACTGGCTGGCAATAAGTCGGACTCGTTCCTGGTGGGTGATGGGCTCCGGCAGGGCTGCCCTTTGTTCGTTATTATATCCCCCCAAAAAAATCAAAATGTATTTCTATAGCACATAAAAATACAACAAAGTTGACCAAAGTGTTTCACAGTCGGTCAGAGCAATAGCATAAGACAGAATTAAAAAAAAGAAACAGTTTAAAGGAGGGCAGGAAACAATATGACAATTGTTTGAAACAAAAACTGGCCACGAAATAACATACTAGTTTAAATCAAAAGCGACACTAAAATAATAAGTTTTAAGACACAATTTAAAAGACTGGATGGACTCGGAGGAACGAATATAAGGAGGGAGGTTATTCTAGAGTCTGGGAGCTACGACAGCAAAGGCCCGATCACCTCTGGACTTCAGACAAGACCTTGGTTGCATCAGGAGCATTTGATTGGAAGATCTAAGTGCCTTATTAGGGATATACAAATGAACAAGTTCACATAGATAGCTGGGATCCAAATTATTTAAAATTTTAAAGGTAAGCAAAAGAATTTTGAAATTGATACAATAATCAACAAGGAGCCCGTGTAGGTTGGCTAAAACTGGTGTGATGTGGACATAATTTCTAGTACCAGTTAAGAGACACGCAGCTGCGTTTTGAACTAACTGGAGCCGGTGAATAGAGAAAAATAGAAGGCCCAAGTAGAGAGAGTTACAGTAGTCTAATTTGGAAGTGATAAAAGCGTGAATGAGCTTTTCAAGGACCTTCAAAGTGAGGTATAGTTTAGCTTTAGATGTCTGACGCAGGTGGTAGAAACTTTTTTTTTTCCCACAGGAGAGATCTGTTTCTTGAGTTTAAAAGAGCTGCCCAGGAAAACACCAAGGTTTCTAACAGTGGGTGAGAGATGGCTAGCAAGGAGCCCTAAGGCATCAGTTAGTTGTTCCAGCGGGGTGTGACTATCAAAAACTATAACTTCTGTCTTATCCTCGTTCAGTGTGAGTGAGCTACATGATAACCAAGTTTTGGCCTCATTTAGACAGTCAAATAGGGGTTGCAAGGAAGTAGAGACATCCGATGTCAAAGGGAAATAAAATTGTATGTCGTCGGCGTAGCAGTGAAAGGAAGTGTAATCCCAACGGCAGCATGTGTTCTTTTTCTTTATAATGGGTTGCACGACAGCGTGCTTAAATACTGACGGTACACAACCTGATGACAGTGATATATTCAGTAACAGTTGGATACAGGGACCAACAGTGGGCAAAGCTTCCTTAAGAAAACGAGAGGGAAGGATATCATGGGGGGAATTCGAGATTTTGAGATGATCAATTATAGCTGTTAAATCAGAATCAGACAGTGGCTGGAACTGTTGAAAGACAGTCAAGCATTCAGGGACTGGAACAGGGTCAGAAACTAACAATGATTGAGATGAGAGAGATGCCCTCAGAACTGAAATTTTGTCAGTGAAATATTTAAAAATTTATTACAAAGTACAGGGGAGGCATCCCTATAAGTAAAGGGGCAAGGGTTTATCAAGAAATTAAAAATACTAAAAAGGGCTTGGGGATTATGGCAGTTAGACCTAATAATACCAGAGAAGAAGGTAGATTTAGCAGCATGTCCAGCGAGACATGGAGTTTATCTTTTTTCCATTTTTGCTCAGTGTGCCGGCATTCACACCTAAGGGCGCGGGTAGTGTCATTAAGCCAGGGTTGGCGTAACAATTCGGCACATTTTGTCCTCAGAGGTGCCACCGAATTAAGAATGTCGGCACATCTAGTATTAAAAAGGTTGGTAAGTTCCTCCGCTGATAAATCCGCAATACCATTAACATCAGAAAGAGGGGAATCAAAAAAAGCAGCAGTGAAATGAGCAATTGACTGAGAGCTCATCTAGCGTGTTTGCCGTAGAGAACCATCACTATACAAATCAACATTGTTAATAACAGTATTAAACAAAATGGTCCGAAATCCTGAGGTTCTCCCAATTTAAAGCGATCACCAATCGGAGAAAAGAAAAGGATAATGTTTAATCGTTTCCCATACAACTTTATCCGTGATGTCCGTGATGCAGATATCCAAACCATTTGACAGTACCAAGTTGAGTGTGTGATCTTACCCACTGGGTGAGATTAAACGAATTAATAAGAGTAAGGAAGTCTTTGACTAGTGAGTCGTCTTTGCAACAAACATGAATGTTAAAATCCCCAACAATTAAAATACGATCATAGCGTAAGACAACACTCCCCAGTAAGTCAGCAAATTCAGAAATAAAATCCTTAACAAATTTCGGGGGGCAATACACCAAAGCACAAAGAAATGAAGGGATGCGGTTCAGTTCCAATAACTGCACCTCGAAGCTGGGGTACAGAACAGATGACAGCTGCCGACATCGAAATTTGTTTTTAAAAACTGAAGCTAGCCCTCCACCTCTGCCAATGGTCCGGGGTGAGCTCAGAACAGTGAAATTGGGTGGAAGCAGTTCTGAGAATGAAACTTGGCTTCACCAGGGCGAAGCCAAGTATCAGTCAAGAATAACAAGTCAAGTCCGGATGAGCGAATAAAATCATTTAAGACAAAAGTCTTATTAGCCAGTGACCTCATGTTTAACAAGGCCATCTGAAGAGTGGTCACACTGTTGCTGGTGCTCCCCCACCCCAGGGGTGGACAGGATTTCTAGGCTTAGCCAAGTGGCAGAAGGCTTTCACTTGGGTGGGCTCAGAACCTCATCTATGCTTTTTGCGGATGATGTGGTTCTGTTGGCTTCATTGGGTGATGGCCTTCAGCTCACTTTGGAATGCTTCACAGCTGAGTGTGAAGCGGTGGGAATGAGAATCAGCACCTCCAAATCTGAGGCCATGGTCCTCAGCTGGAAAAGTGTAGAGTGCCCAATCTGGGTAGAAAATTAGTTCTTGCCTCAAGTGGAGGAGTTTAACTATCTCGTGGTCTTGTTCACGATTGAAGGGAAAAGGGTGCAGGAGATCAACAGATGGGATTGGTGCTGTGGCCACAGTAATGTGGACGCTCTGTTGTGGTGAAGAAAGAGCTGACTGTAAACGCGAAGCTCTAAATTTACTGATCAATCTATATCCCTACCCTCACCTATGGTCACGAGCTGTGGGTAGTGACTGAAAGAAAATGATTGTGGATACAAGCTTCCTCCAATGGGTTGCTAGCCTCTCCCTTAGAGAGAGGATGAGATGGTAAAATGTTCTAAAAGAAAGAAAACAAGGATTGACCAAATAATGTTTTGTATTTTGGTAGTTAGCAGTGTCCATATTCTGCTCTTCTACTGCGACTCCTGCGCTGCTGACTTTTGAAATCATTCTGCTCACTAACTGGCTCAACATTGGCTCAACAGTGCATGGACTGGACAGCCTAACAGGCTAGCTACAGTGCTAAAGAGAAACCTGGAATTGTTGTCATTTTATTCTAAGGTAAATAAAAAGATGTACTAGCTTCATGGAGTGCTTTTTTTTTTAAAGACATCAGCTTGTAGTTTAATGATGGTTTACCCTTATTGCTGTTCTTTAGTTTATTTAAAAGTAAATTTGCTTCTGTTTTTCTGGTATAACATCATATCACTTTCTTTGCGATGTCTCCTTTTGTCCTTCCAGATGTCTTACAGCAACATGTTCCTAAGAAGGAGGTGGTACCGACTGAGCAGCAGCTCTGTAATCAGGATAACAACTCCAGTCTGAAACACGGGAAACCAGAATCTCCACAGATTAAGGAGGAACCGGAGGAACTCTGCAGCAGTCAGGAGGGAGAGCAGCTTATACTGAAGGAGGAGACGGATACCTTTATGGTGACCGCTACTTGCGACAAAAGTGACCAAACCGAAACAGGTGGGCAGCAGCTCCTGTTTCTAAGCTCTGCTGTAGCTGAGAACCAAGATCAGGGACGAAGCGAGAAACTTGATTTACAATCAATTCGATTTACGAACAAAAGTCACAAGAATGAAGAAGACCCGACAACATCAGGGAGTAGGTGTAACTCTGATAAAAGTACAAAGTATCTCAAATGTGATGTTTGTGGAAAAGTATTCCGATATAATTATGAAATGACAAGACATTATAGAATCCACACAGGCGAGAAACCGTATTCATGCACTATTTGTGGCAAAGGTTTCGTATGTACTGGCTCTTTAGCAAAGCACAGAAGAGCTCACACAGGTGAGAAGCCTTATTCTTGTATAACATGTGGGAAAAAGTTTGCTTATAACAGTGATTTACTGAGACACCTGAAGACGCACACTGGTCAGAAACCATATCATTGTAAAAGATGTGGGAAAATGTTTCTATATAAAAGTGATTTACTGAAACACATGCGGACTCACACAGGTGAGAAACCATATGGATGTAAAACATGTGGGAAAATGTTTGCTTATAATGGTGATTTACTGAAGCACACAAGAGCTCATACAGGTGAAAAGCCATATCATTGTAAAACATGTGGGAAAATGTTCGGATACAGTAGTTCTCTGTTAAAACACATGGGAATTCACACAGGTGTGAAACCACATCATTGTAAAACATGTGGGAAAATGTTTGCTTCTAATAGTGATTTAGTGAAACACACGAGGATGCACACTGGTGAGAGACCATATCATTGTAAAACTTGTGGGAAAGTATTTGCATATAGTAGTTCCTTATTGAAACACATGAGAATGCATACAGGTGTTAAACCATATCATTGTAAAGCTTGTGGGAAATCGTTCACCCGTAACTCTATTTTGACAGAACACACAAGAACACACACAGGTGAGAAACCGTATGAATGTAAAACATGTGGGAAAAGGTTTAACTCTAGAACTCATTTGTTGCGCCACATGAAAACTCACGCTAAGCGGTGCACTATCGATACAAGATTATTGGCTTAGTGAGCTGCTTTCAGCTAAAAGTCAGAGGTTTGTGTCACAAAAGTTACTTTTTTAAAATCTGGTTTTAATTACCCTGTTCAGCTATGAATAATTGAAAGAGGTATGAATATAAATACTGATTTAAAGGTCATGGTAACTTACACTGAACACATAAGCTGTTAAAGAGCAGGTAAAGTTGAGGTTTAACTGGAATGTGCATATATTCATATATATATTCAAGTATGCAGAAAACGTGGAAATGTTGTACTTGATTCTCTGCTGAATCTGCTGCTAAATCTGTTACACTAATTTAATTGTAGCTATTAGAAGATGGATCACAAAAAACAAAACAATTACTTTAGTTTGCAACAAAGTAAAGCAAATATTTTCTTGGGCTTTGGAACTATAAGCTTTAACATTTAAATGGGTCCAGTTTAAAGTATCAGAGCTCTAGTGAGAGCCGAGTGCACACTCTTGTCATATTTTCAGCAAGTGTTTTATTGGTATATTTTCTTTATGTTTTCTATAATTTTTTAATCATTTTATCGACATCTGATAATGTCTGTTTATTCTGACTGAGATTTTAGTTTTGTTAATTCAGTTTATATAAAGGAAGCCTGGTGTGTTGATCTTCATTGATAGTATATGCTTCTTTTTTTTTCTAAAGGGGGGTGCTCTGTATCGCAAAACTGAAATCTAGGAGCTGTTTCTATGTTTTTCCATCTAAATCTTAAACATGATGCTGTCCACTGTGGTGATGATGTGGTTGACAGTCTATCAGAGAGTAAACCAGTTACACTCTCACCTGTGGTAAATATAATCACTGTTTAGAACAACATTCATGTCTTTGGACTGTGGGAGGAAGCTGGAGTACCCAGAGAGAACATGCAGACTCCACACAGGGAGGCCTGAGCCCACCAGGACCTTCTTACTGTGATGGGACGGTGCAAGCCACTGCGACAACGTGCTGCTGGTTTCTTTTTGAATAAATAGAAGATCTTTGTTTTGTTTTAATTGGGGTGGTCTTTTGTATTCATATGTTTTGTTTATTTAGCTCATTTAGTGCATTTATATTAATTTACTGTTAATTTTAAGTTGTTTAAGAATCTAGACTTGCTGTGAGAACCTCAGGTTCAAAGATAGATAGGTGTAAGCGTAACATTTTCATTTCTTGTTCTGCACGCATTAAATAAAGCACTAAACCTGTAGTTAAACTCTCCTGTACTCATTGTATATGACCAAAAGGTTTCTTAAATGTCTGCCTTCAGTAAATACAGATTTTTTTCTGTCTAAATCAGGTCTTTATTTGAGGCTTCTAAGCAGTAAATTGCTAATCCTTTTCTTGCGCTCTCTCTCTCTCTCTCTCTCTCTCTCTCTTTATGTATGTACCTATGTATGAAAGCCATAATAAAAATGTGGAAATATAGTGTATATACAGTATCATGTATATTTTACAAAGCCTCTTGTTCATGGTTTTGGTTTTCTTTAGTTCTTTCTAATTCTAGTCCTTCCTTACTTAGTATTTATCTTAGCCTGTGTTTAGTCTCTGATCCCATGTCTACTCAGGGTTTTCAGCCTTACACAGTCTTAATGGTCCACAAGGGCCGTGGACCCCATAACCGCTAAGGCCGGAAGTGCGAGGCTTGTGAAATGGGATGGTCTAGCCTCGGTTGCGCTGCCCAGGTTGCCTAGCAACCATGATACTAACAGCTGGAAACGTTTCATACAGCTTTGTTTGACAGAAATGAAGGAGAAAACCTTTTGTTCATTTGTTTCTACATGAGCTTTGTGTGATTTTAATAAGTATCTGAGGCTGAGATCACGGGACTGTGAAAACATGATTATTGGGCTTCATTACTGCACTGAACACCCATTTTAAGATTAGCTAGTAAATAACAATTAGCTAATGTTGTTCATGAGACTAAAGTCCTCTCACTTTGGGTGAATATAATATGGCCAATATTAAAATTATTACAGCAGTGAACTTGGACTCTGTGTCAAATACTGAGCTTCAGTAAAGATTCAAGTTGCATTTATTCAAATTTCCCATCACCTTAAATCTTCACTCAAAGATAAGTATCTTTGACAGTGTATGTCTAGATGTATTATATATAAGAGACAAATATATTATTCATTTAATATGTTGGCATTATTACTTTTGGCTCAATGCTTACATATACAGTGGGGCAAAAAAGTATTTAGTCAGTAACCGATTGTGCAAGTTCCCCCACCTAAAATGATGACAGAGGTCAGTAATTTGTACCAGAGGTACACTTCAACTGTGAGAGACAGAATGTGAAAAAATAAATAAATAAATAAAAAAATCCATGAATCCACATGGTAGGATTTGTAAAGAATTTATTCGTAAAT